ACTAGCCTCAAGTTCTGGGAAAGATCATGTGACCTATATCATGTGACCACCTCAGGAGAAATAGGAGATGGGTAGAAGAAGGACCAAGAACCCCAGTTGGTGTAGTAGGAGAACTTCGATAAAATTAACCAGAGGGCAGTTTTCTTAGAAAGGGAAAAGGGGGAGTAGGGCAAGTGGAGGGGGGTGGCTGAATATAAGACAGTCAAAGGAAAGAAGAGAAGACAAGTGTCCCCTGTAGCTTTGTCCTCTTTGAGCAAACAAGCCCTTAAGGCGGGCAGTCAAGCGGCCTGAAGGACAAGCTTGTGGGCCTCTCAATGCTGACACGCTGCAGACGGAAGCAGTGTGGAGCAGTGGGAAGTGCAGATACAGCTTTGGGGTCAGTGAGTTCAAATTCTGGTACCTCACTCACTCGCTTGTGACCTTGGTCAAGTAAGTGCCTTAATGCCCTGGGTTTTAACTCTTTACATTGTGAAATGGGGGTAATAAGTAATTGTCTTATGGCTGTTGCATAGATTAAAGATAATTTAGGAATTGTGGATTCCGATTCCAACTCCATCTCTGATATATTGGGCACATTTTTTGTGTGGAGGAATATCAGAGCTTCTATGAACTTTGGTTTCCCACCCACAGAATGGGAGAAGTAAGAACTAACTGGGGAGTCCAGTAGATGCAGTTATGAGCCCGATATTGCCACTCACGTGCTTACAAGACTCTGGGCAAGTTCTTTAGCTTTAACTTGAAATAACGCAGCGAAGGGGCATGGTGCAAGCACAGGTCCTCTATTGGCTTCCTAGGGCTGCCATACGAGGTGTCACAACACCTTGTTTCTTAAACAACAGGAATGTATGGGCTCAACACTTCCGGAGGCTACAAGATGGAGGTGTGGGCAGGGTGGGTTCCTGCTGAGAACTCTGTGGGAGAATCTGTTCCAGGCCTGTCTCCTGGCTCCTGGTGGCTTGCTGGCCACTGCTGGCTTTCCGTGGCTTCTGCTGCATCACCCTGGCCTCTGCCTTCATCGTCACATGGCATCCTCCCTGTGTGTCTTCACATTGTCCTCCCCCTGTGTGTGTCTGCCTCAGGGTCCAAATTTCCCCTTTTTATAAGGACACCAGTCACATCGTTTCAGGGCCCACCCCCAATGACTTCATTTTAACTTGATTATCTCTGCAAAAACCCTATTTCCAAAGGAGACCACATTCTGAGGTGGTGGGGTTAGGGCTTCAACCCAGCTTCTTTTGGGGAGGGGGACACAATTCAACCCATGACAGGCGCTTTGCACGTGTTAGTTTTCCTTCCTCAGCAAAGTGCCCTATCAAACAAGATTAAGTACCCTGATCACTGCTTGGAACAGAGCAGACACTCAATCAATATTTGTTGAATAAATAAATGCATGGGTGGGCCTAAGATCTCATGGTGTTCTGAATTGTTCACAGTTCTCCACTGACCCAGTAAATAGTCCCCCTTTTAAAAGAGTGATCTCAAGATCTTCTGACAAGAATATAAAGTTCATACGAATGGCTCCAGGCAGTTTCAAGAGCAGAGATCTGATATCCCTTTGAATGTGCACTATGCTATTCCCACAGTCTGAGAACTTGCAGGACCGTCTTTCATTCCTGGAAAGGCTTTCCTTTGCCACAAAGAATTAATTGCTCTGGCAAAGGCTGGAACACTACCTGCAGTTATTTACAAAGAGGTTCCCACCATGAACAGGTGCTGGAAGGTGAGATGAGAACACGGCGGTGGGTAATGGGGCAGGTAGGATCCTACAACCCTCAGCCCCAGACACCCACTAATTCAGGAAGCTATAACCAAGTGCAGGAATGCCATCTCTTCTTAATTCTTTTTTTAAAATATATATTTTTATTGATTTCAGAGAGGAAGGGAGAGGGATAGAGAGATAGAAACATCAATGATGAGAGAGAATCATTGATCGGCTGCCTCCTGCTCCCCCTCTCCCCCTACTGGGAACCGAGCCCGAAACCCAGGCATATGCCCTTGACCTCAATCAAACCTGTGACCCTTTAGTCCGCAGGCTGATGCTCTATCCACTGAGCCAAGCCTGCTAGGGCTCTTCTTAATTCTTTACCCTCCAGGCCAGGGGGCCCACATACCTTGAGTGCTTATGATGTGCCGGAAATGTTCCTTTTGATACAGCAAAGTGACTCCAAGTCTACTCTCTGGAGTTGGGCCTTTGCAGTCTACTCTTGGCCCACCACTGCCTCGCTGTGTGCTCTCCAGCAAGTTACTTAACTTCTCTGTGCCTCAGTTATCCCTGTTTGTAATTTGGGGGTAATCATAGTATCTACCTCATAGCAGAGGTAATTTAACACATGCAATATACTTCCCACAGTGCATTAGAATCGTGTTAGCCATGATTGTTTTCTTATATTTTGCTGAGGACACGGCTGCTGCTGAGGCTGGTCACGGGGAGGTGAATTCTAGTGGCCAGGTTTTAGTAAGATCGAATAAAATAAGAGGAATCTGTTCTCATCTTGCTAGAACCCGACCCTCTCTCTCTCCTTGTTTTTTTTTTTTTTTCATTTCTCTGCTTTACCTCCTTACGATCTTGAATGCTCACCAAGGGTTATTTCATTAATTCCTCCAGCAACCCTATGAAATAGGGATTGTAAGTCTGTCTCATGGCTAAGGAACCTGAGACTCAGACAGGTAAGGTGACGTGTAGGTGCTGAAGCTAGAATTCAAGGCAGGTGTGTTTGACTGCAAGGCCACAGATTGGGAGATGGGTCTGACGGGGGTGAAATTTGCCCGACCCTCCCTCCCCCCCAATTCTTCATCCTTTGGACTTCCCCTTAGGACCTAAGCACAAAGTTCTCCACCAGATCACCTGCCCTGGACAATGTTTCCACTCTATCCTATCATCAAAGCCAGCCCCCTGAACAGGCCCCAGGAAACCCATTTACCCACGGGGTCAATGATTAATGACAAAGGCCACCCATTAGGACAGAGGGTTCTCATCCAGGAGCGCTTTGAATCATCATGGAAACTCTGGGAGGTGAGTGGTGTCCTCCCCAACTCCACTGGTGAGCAAGCTAAGGCTCAGAGAAGTTCTGTAACTGGTCATACGCTAGGTCAGAACTTAGCTTTGAACCTTGGCCTGCCTCCCTGGTTTCTCCCACTCACACCCTTTTTCCACACCGCCTGTTTCCTCTGCTCCCCTGCAGGGCAGCCTGGGCTGATACTGGCCTCCGGGGCTCTCAGTCCCCATACTGCAGGGGCCAGCAGGTCTTTGGGACCAGCTGGGCTTCCAGGGGAGTGGAGACAGCAGTGTCAGGACATCTTTGCTTGGGGGGGGGGGTACATTGGTTAAGGACCATGTAACAACAGAGCTCCCTGCAGGGGAGGCTGGGACTGGGTGGTAAAAGTCTGTAGGAAAGCCAACTCATTTGTGTCATTCTTTTTTCTGTCTCTTTAGCATAGACAACAGGTTCTGGAATTCTCTGGCCTCTCTGGGTGCCTGGCCATTGGAATTTGGAGGCTACTGAGCTTAGTCTTCTACTCTCCCTTGCAAGTCCACAAGTGGCCACCAGCTTCCTGGTTGTTTTGGAACTGCACGCAAAGGACGCAGCATGATGGAGATGAAAGATCTCTGAGAGTGGCCAGCTGTGCAACCTGAGGCAGATGAATTTACCTCTCTGATCCTCAGTCTCCTCATCAGCAAATGATCTCTACTTGCATAGGTTATCATGAAGATTCGGCTAGATAATGCACATAAAGCAGTTTGGCAGGGCTTGGCACATAGTAAGCACTCGATAAACATGCACCCACCGTTATTAATGTAGAAATGTAGTGCTGTCATTAACAACTGAAATCTTGGTGAAGATTTTCTTGTTGGTGGAGGGTCCAAGAACTAGATGGAATAGGAATGGTGGTGAGTGGAGAGAGAATGTTCTTTGCCTACCCGACTGGCACCCATCCCAAAGCACACATGCCCAAGGCCAGCGCAGGAAATGACAAACAATTATTGTCACTAACTCCTCCTGGGGAGGCAGGGTGTTCTTTTCTTCTTCGTTTTTTTGTGTTTTTTTTTAAATCCTCACCCAAGAATTTTTTCATTGATTTTTAAGAGAGAGTGGAAGAGAGAGGGAAAGATTGAGAGACATATCAATGTGAGAGAAACACATCGATTGGTTGCCTCTTGCATGAGCCCTGACCAGGGCCCAGGCCAGGGAGGAGCCTGCAACTGAGATACATGCCCTTGACTGGAATTGAACCCAGGACCCTTCAGTCCACAGGCTGACGCTCTATCCACTGAGCCAAACCAGCTAGGGTGAGACAGGGTTCCACTTGGCCTTGGCTTAACAGTGTGGGCAACGCATGCCCGCATTCACTCACACATTCTCTCTCAGCACCAGGAGTCCATAAAGCCAATAGCGTGGGTGTCACCGAGTTAAAAGGGAGGCACCCAGATTTCAAGAACAGCTAATTGCACCCACACTTGTATCTTGACCTTTCTTTGCATGAGGCCACAGGGGATGTGGCCCATGCATTGTTTGGGGGCTCGGCAGTGCCCTGAGCTCCTGGGCTGCAGGGGTGTTAGGAATATTCCAGTTCTACCAGCTCATTTCGGGGAAAGTGAAGCTCTGAGAGGCAGGACCTGGTTCAACAACACAGGGTCCACCCCCTGTGCACCGGTGACAGAGTTCTCACCTCCCTCCCGACAAAGGTACTGTCAAGCGTAGCGACAGGACAATGGATTGTGCTCGGGGAACCCATCTGAGGTCTCAAGTCTGCTTTCCTATTATGGCTTTGGAAGGAAATAGCGTGTCATCTCTCAGCCTCTACTCCCCTGCACCCCACGGGTCTCCCCAGCTGAGGCTTGACCTGGGTGACCGTGGAAGGTCATTCCTCCATGCTACGGAGCAGAAATGACCGAGAAAAAACACAGGCGCCTTTCAGATGACTGCCACTCTCAGGGCGAGGTGGGAAAGGTGGGGTTGTTGGAGAGGACCGCTGCGTTTACGAGGCCTCTTATCTTTATGACAAATGCTCAAATGGAAAGCGAGACGCAATAATAAAGAAAGCAGCGCTCATAATTGCCAGTTCTGGAGTGTGGGGCAGTGCATCAGGTGGGCAGCTGGGCCGGCATGGGGGAAGCCCTTGCCACTCTGAGAGTCTCTGTTAAGTCAGGGCCAGAAGACACGGAACTGGGAAATCCTGGTGAGGGATGCTGAGGGAAATTCCACCCGCATTCCCTCCCCACTCCCCAGCTCTGCCAACTAAATGTGGGGGCTCCTGCTGGCATCAGAAGTACCACTTCTTCATACAAGTTCTCTCCTTCCATTCTTGGGGGGAGGGATGGCGTGGCGACTCCATGGAAGACCCAAACTGCTGGGACCTTTGGCAACGTGGGGTGGGCATGAGATGGACAGCATTGGCGGGGACACAGGAGGACGTCCCATGAGCTCTGACTTCCCAGGAGGGAAATCGTGTAGCAGCCAGAAATATGAGCAAACTACCCCAAACACAAAAACCCAGCCCCCAACCAAGCAATAAAATAAAACCAGCTGCATAAATTACAAAACAATTACAAAAGAGGAGTTCTGGTTCTATTGGTTCTTCAATACGTTAATATTGCACTACTTTCCTCAAGGTATAGAAAGAAAAACCTGGAGCACTGGAATCAGAGGAACAGGAGCCCCCCTTGTAGTGTTCAAGTCATTTGTGCCTCCTCCCCACCCGGAACAGCTTAGCCACGCCGTCCCCGGGGCAGGCATAAGTCTATCCTCCAAGCACATAGTTCTGGACCCGAGACAGCATCTGGCTTTAGCTTGCAAGTCTGGCTGGCTTTCCGTCTCCTGAGGGAGCAGCCTTACTTCACAGCCCCTTACCCTGTTCACTGGGAGAATATCGGGGCCGCAGAGGCACATGGTGCTGTGGGTGCCTGGACGGGGTGCACACAGGCAACGGAGGAGATCTCGCTGTGTTTCTGCTCCCCGCAGAAGAGGGTCCTGGGCCAGGGCCGGCCGCTGCCCTGGCTGCGGGGGTGACAGCAGAAGAGGGTGGCCACCAGCAGGGCCAGGGCGATGATGAAGGTGAGCGTCCACTGCATGATCCCGGGGTAGATGAAGGGCAGGATGAGGACGATGAGCAAGGCCAGCAGGAGCAGGTGTGCCACCAGGCGCCGGGCTGCCACGCGGTTGGCACTCGCCACGTCCTGCCCATCCTCTCCTGCCAAGCCGGGATGCCCTGCTGTCAAGGCGGCGGGACTCACCAGCTCCTGAGGACAGAGCCACACTTCTGGGCACGGCCGGGCGAGCCGCCCCACCACGGCCTCCTGGTCACGCAGGCCGCAGA